TGGAGGCTACGGCTGCAAGGTCTGGAGCCAGACTCTCTGGGCTAATTCTCCCTACAAGTGTCATCTTGAGCAAAGTGATGCTACCTTTCTGATGCTCAGATTCCCCGTCAGTGAAATGGAGATGATATAGTTTCAACCTCATGGAGTTATTGTAACTCCATGTGTAGTGCTTAGAACAGGGCCTGGCATCCAGCTAACAGTTGTTGAATGTTTATTACTATTATTAAACATGCAGTCCTTCTCCCTCCAAGCAATCAGGAAAGAAGGCAGGGTCTACACTTCCCGGTGTGTGAGGAGGAGGGATGCCTCCAGGGACCCCATCTCCCATGGAAGCTCCTGCGATAGTTTCCTCAGGAGGTCTCCTTGCCACCAGTGCCTTCCCCTCCAGTCAGCTCCACGGTGCCCCCGAGTTTTGCCTTAGAACACAGATCATATTCCTTTGCTGAAATAATGGCGGCTGGACGAATGAGGAGGGGAGGCTGAAGCTGCGTGTGTGTGTGTGGATGCGTCTCCCGTATTTTCTATCCCATAGAAAGTTCCAGCTTCTACCCAGACACAGCTCTTGGACTTCCACTCCCGCACTGCACACTTGAGTGTCTCCATCCTGCTTGTCCCTACACACAGTGTCTCAGAAATTCAAGCCCCTGCCCCCCCCCCCAGGGAACCACCCTTATCAGATTCCTAAGTGAGGCCTCAGAGCCCCAAGCCCTCACCAGGCCCTGGGCAGAATAATGTCCTCACTCTTCCTGGCCCACATGTCTGCTTGCACCTTCTCCAACTGGTTTGTTATCTCTGGCAGAGGTGATCTGAAGCTCCACCCCTCTCCCCAGGTTGCTGGGACCTGGCTTTGGTTCTCCTGGGTTCTCCAGTGCCCTGAGGAACTTTAAAAGGCTGCCTGGAGAGGGTGCAGTTTTCATCAATAACAGAGGAACTGCCCACCTTTGGAGGGCAGCATTGGGAGGTTTTTTTTTTTCAGGATGGGGACCTGAAGGGGAGCACTCCTCCCTGGCTCTCTCAAATCTGGATGGCTACCTGTTCAGCCTCGTAGCTGCCCCTCTGGGTGACTGGAGGCAGCTGGCCTTAAAGCACCCCTGGCAACCTGGTGCAGGCAGGGGACAGAGACCCAGCTTTGAGTTAGCGTGAATCCAATCGAGAAAAGCTCCAGTTCTGGCTCCAACAGGTCACTCCTCATCTCCGGTTCTCAGTCTCCCTATCTGTACAATGAGGAAGGGCAGGCTGGATGAACCAGTTCTTCAGTGCTTATTAACCCATCACCTAACACACTGCTCTGGTCCCTGGTGATAAAGCAGTGAATAAAACAGACAGAAAGCCCTGCCCTCAGGTAGCTGATATTCTAACAGGGACAATAGATGATAAGATTAAAAAAAAAAAAAGCAAAATATACAGGATGTTAGATGGTGATACGTATTATGGAAAATAAAGCAGAGAAGGGGTATAGGGATATGATCTCTAAGGCTGATCTCAGTTGAGAAATTCTGGGTCTATAGCTCTTGTTAAGACGCAGGAACAGGCAGTGGGAAGCTGGGTGGGCCCCTAAGAGTACAGGGAGAAGTGGGGGAGGCGTGTTGGTGCAGGAGCTTAAATCCCAGCTATGCTCTCAGGGAACAGAACTGACCAACTCTGGGTGTCCTGGTCTTCCTTGGGCCAAAACAGACACTGGGGGCTGCTAAAGAGTCCAGGGGTTATGGGTCCCTGGCAGGACCTCAGTCTTCAGGGCACTGCCTTGGAAAGTCTTCTAGGGCCCTCGCTATGCCTTCCCACTTGACTCTGGCCTTGGGTGAAGAAGAGACTGACACTGCCACCTCCAGGGGCTCTCACACTGCTTCCGTCCTTTCTCCTGGACCCTCCCCTATATGGGAGCATGTCCCCTCTTATAACATAGGGAGAAGGAAAAGGGATTAAAAACTATCCCTCTTCCTACCAGTTTTAACAATTTCTCTTCCTGTAGAGATTGTTTTTAATTAATAACTACTTCCTGTGAACCTACTGTGTACTCAGGATGAGGTCAGGTCTCTGAGGGATTCCAAGATGCATGGTTACTTCCCAGAGGAATTTACCGCCCACCTGGGCAGGTGAGACTGACATATGAGGTGTGACAATTAAGTTCGCAAACTTGTTGCAATGACGTTGCTAACCTTTTTTGATATCAGAGAGATTATTCATTATGAATTTGTACCACTTGGACAACCAGTTAACTGAGGTTACTATTTGGAAGTGCTGAAAAGGCTGTGTGAAAAAGTTAGCCGAGTGGCCGAGTGGCGCGATGGTTAAGAACTGGCTTGGGACGCCAGAGGGCCCCGGTTCGGATCCCACATATGAGGGCCAGTGACACTGCCCTCCACA